TAATGGTGATGATTAAGCTGTCGGTTCCTGTTTTGGTAAGAAGTAAAGCCACTTATGATTTGCGGTTTCTCGCCCTGTTTTCATTATCTCTTAGGATTGTATGATTCAATGTACTTCCGTTTTGGTCTGAACACGCTTGATTATTGATTTGATGAACTTTCCTACTTCGAACAAACATGTTGGTTATGTCTAATTCTGTTTTAAAAAAACCCTTAACTTCTCTCTGAATGCGTAGCTGCTGATTACAGGCTTTTTAGAGTTCTTCAATTGAACTTGAATGACTTCTCAATACACGAGCTTGATGGTTTAATGGCGTCTAAGAGCGATCGGGCCGCAAAGGTGTACTGAGGGATTCCCTGACACAGCAGTTTCGACTTGATATCTCTGCAACTCAAGTTTTCAACCCTCATTGACGTTAGGCGAAGTTACCGCGTGAACAACTGGTGTAACTTCTAGTGTTCGAGTAAGTTCTTCTCTGGATTTTCATTCTGTTATGATGGGCACCTTATTCTCTTATGAATTCGTCTTGTGTTGCTGTAATTTATCTTAGCTGAAAACAAAATTCGGTGACTCGTGCTTCCTTTGTGCATTATGCAGGTGGTTTAAGGGCTGAAGTTTGTCACTTAAGTTCAAACAAACTACTGCTATGGAGAAACTTTAAAGGCGCTAAGGCTCCCTAAGCAGATTGGTCGGTTGTACTGTTTAATACACAAGCACGTGCAACTTCTTATTCAAGTATTTCTCTGTCGGTCCTTGATCCTTCACCCAAACAAGTAGCTTCTCAAGCTCAGAGTTTACTTTTTGAGATGCTAAAATTCTGGTTAACTTCTTGATGTAGGAGTCCTGGTGCAAGGATGTTTTGGAAGGTGGAATCAAGATGAAGATGAGGCAAGGTCATGTTGGTGGCAACTTGGAGACAAACACTTGATGGTGTTGGCTTTAAATCAGGAAGGAGGATTAGCATGGCCGCGACTTTTGCTAGGTTGTAGTCTCCTTTCGTTCTTTGTTCGATAGCAAGTATTATACTGAGCTGATAACTTCATTAACCTATCTTATTCTGCAGGTGAAAACGGGAGAGACACAGGGAACTCGCGGAACGGTGAGGTATGGAGCAAGGTTGCCGTATCCGCACACTTCCAATGTGTTTTAAGATGGTTTGGGAGATATCTGAATTGTTTTAACTGTTGGCTTAAATAACTGATAATCTCTCTATTTCTCAGGAACATGTTCGGTTATGATTTTGTACTCTACTATCTTCCAAACAAGAATGGGATGGACGCCTGCTGCCGTATTGATCATCTTGGTTGCTGGTATGCGGATGTCTTCTGATATTGTCTACCCTCCAATATTGCAGTCACTGAATCTCTGTTATTTGTTCAAATGTAGGTAAATGCCGTAAGATAAATCAAACACCATAGTAGTCTCGCGTTCACCCGGTGGTAATGGTGGAAGTGCTCTGACGCCTTTGACGAAACTGACAACTTAAAAATCATTGCCACAAGAATGCATTTGCGGAAGGGACTTCAACAATCCAACAAAACGTATCGAGTACCAACACGGAGCCCGTAGTTAGTCCAAGGGACGGCCTCAAATGTTTACGTCTCTCCGCAATTGGTTGAGACTCCTCTGTGGTAATCCAATCTAACATATCCTAATAGTGTAATCTATGTCGCCGTGGCCAATAGTTGTGGGGTTTCCAATCCATGTACCTCTGAGCACTTAATATGTCTATGTTGGTGCTTGTTTCACATTGCAGGTCAAATGCAGGTTATCGTTTTCATGATGCTCGCGGATGATGAAATGTTGGTTCAATCATTGGCTTGATGGTTACATGTGTTTAGCGTTCCCGCAATGTGGGCTTCACACGCCTTCGAGGTATAGCATGCCAATAATGAGGCCAGGCTGCATTGGTGTTGTGAATTCCCTTTCAAACTTGGGTTCCATTCTTGTAAACAACACTTGATTTCTATATGCTGGCGAAATTGATTTTGTAATGGCATTATTGCAGATGTAAGTGAGTTGAGCTACTTGGGCAAGTTCCCGTCCGCGTGGGCCTCGCCGATTAACTCATTCTGTTGATGCTACTACTGCTAAGCTGTTGTAGTTGCGGTAATTCCTTAGGCTTGTATTGTCATCTGCTTCCCGTTAATCGTTGTTTTGGTCATCCGAAAAAAACTAATCCCTGGAGTAATTTCGTCCAGGTATCAGACGCGTCGACATGAATTAAATACTAAAGGTTTTTTAGGGGTAAGCTGTGATGATATCGCTCTATACTTCAAAATTTTCACACTGTCACAAAGTCTTACCACGGTTTTCCAACTGTTGTAGTTTAAGAACCAATGCCTGGAAAGAAATACTCGGAGTTGAATTGAATTAACGTCTGATAATGCTTATGTTCTATGGAATTTCCGAATACTTTGGTTTGTTGCAGGTCAATGCTTATGGACGGTTTGCATACGGCCAAGTGAATCTCTTTCAGTTCTGAGGTGAGGAACGAATTCGAGTTGCTGATTTGGTTGAGCACTTTCTTCTCATCTTGCGTATGTTTACTTTGTCTTGAGGAGTTTGAGTGTCAGCTTCTAGTTTCGGGAATGTTGGCAAATACCAAATATTCACGACTGATTTCTTCTTTTTGTATTTTGCAGAGAATCATGACCATGGCTGACAACTTGCTTCAACTCTCGCCACTTTGGCCCAAAGAAAAGGTGCCGCCGGTTAGCGACCACACGTCACAAATTGCACCAAACGTGGCTCAACATCCCTAGCAAAATGTAATAAATAAATTCACAGCAGTTGTAGATTTGCCGACACCGTCTTTTCCGGATGTAGTAGCTGTAGTGACATTCGTTCCATCAAAATGTGAAGAGTCTCAGTGTAGCCTTTAGCTATTTGTTTGCATAGTCCTCGTGTTATGGTATTAAAGATGTAATTTGTAAGTACATGCTCATTCGTCTTGAGTAGCAGTAGGTACAAAAGTGACAACACAAAAAGGAGTATTTACTCATGATAATCCTGTACTTGCATTTTGCACACCGAGTTAGAATATTCACTTATATTCTCTTATTCACTAGTTATTCAACTTCATTAGTTATTCAACTGGCGTGAACTTCTTCAAGTTTCCTCTTTTTCCAAAAAGATGCCCAAAGACGTAAACACCAACTTTACCCTAGTAACCTCGCGGGGAGTCTTGTTCCTAAAAACCAAACTCTTACGCACTGCGGGGATTCAAAGCCACTTATTAGTGTAATTAGTGTGATATCATCTTTTGTGGGGTATACCCCCTTTTTCCAGATGGGTGATGTTTGCAACTCGAAATTAAATGGTAGAAAAGATAATGAATCTCGGATTCCATTTTAAGAACTTCTTGAGTACTTGATTTGAGACCTCTTATCCGAACTCCGTAACACATTGATCATAAACCAACCAAAATCCAAAACCCTTTCTCCCGGGATGATGATCGACTTCTGTAATCTCTATTAAATTTTGAGGAGAAACGTTGATCTTTGATAAGGAGATGCTTGAGCCTTCGCTCCAGAACTCATGAAAGAAACAGTTGAAATGAAAAAAAGAAGATTCGAAACCGGGGAATCCTAGGAACTCTTTGAGTTAGGCGCAAACGGTCATTCTCTAAACTAATCGGCTGCGAGAATGAATATTATCTCTTCTTGAAATTACCGCATCTGCACAAACTGGTTATCCATAATAAACATACATGCAAAAGTAAAAAATGAAGGAAGAAAGAAAGAGAAAGCACAAAGAGGCGGGGTCTTAAGGTCAAAAATTAGGATGCAACACTATGTTATGGATGATCAAACAAGTTGGTAAATATGGTATCTCATGGTTCATATAATCTTAAGTGCTCAAACTATCTAAAATAAATCCATGAAATCACTAATAATTTATGTCATTGCATTTTATATTTAAAAAATATTTTGCATAGTTTTCATTTGAAAAAAAATCATTTTCTAAGCCAAGCAATCGATTGCACTGATACATCAATCGATTGCCTTCATTCAAATTTGCAAAATTTTTAAAGCCATCAATCGATTGCATGGGATGAGTAATTGATTGACATTAGTTCAAATTTCAAAATTTTCAAACCTATCATTGAAACAATCAATTGTTTATCCCATTCAATCGATTGATACTGTGAATTTTTTAAAAAAAATACTTATTTGGATTGCATATGTTCATGGCACCTTCATTGAATCTTTTCAAAATAATTTTATACCTTATCACAATTTATCAAGAGCTTTGTCTTGATTCAAAAGGGTGTGAATGATCATATAAATATAGAGTATTTTATCTGATCAAATTCACCTATTCCAAAAATTTCTTCCAAAGTATTTCATTGTATTTCACTGCATCAATAACTTTCAATCATCAAGAACTTGTGCATTGTTTTCATAATTCAAATAACGTGAAAAGTTCTTGAGCACTTAAAGATATATTGTGATATACCATATTTTTGAAAGGGAAGAAATTCTACAAGTTAGGATTTATTCGATCGTACTGCTTCAAACTTATATTGATCAAAAACTCAGATATTTTTATTAGTACCTTGTTGTCCAGGATTGTTGAAAACAAGAGGGTTTGAAAAAGAAAGAGCGTTTTCTTTTTCTGAGTTATAAAATTACAAAGTGGTTTGCCTTGGTGATTTAGCTAGAAGCTTGCATATAGAAGCTAGATACAGGCTTGTACAAAGTTCTAACAATAGTAAAATCTCTTACAGTGGTTAGGGGACTAGACATACTCTTAAATTGTGAGGGGAACTAGTATAAACTTCACATGTTCTTTATTTTTCCGCACTTTACTGATTTCATAACCTAACATTAAACCAGTAAAATAAAGATACTCACTCTAAAAACCAGAAAATTTCAAAGTACCTAATTCACCCCCCCCCCCCCCCTTTTTTAGGTGCACTCTATACTTATATTAACTAAGTCTGCCACTTTGACATTCTGCATGTTATTAGGAATTTGAATTTCCAAATCATGAATTCAAAATCCTGGAGAAATGCAACAGTCTGACCATGCATCCACCGTCTTCCCATCTCCAATCACCCAATAATTGTAATCATTTAACTCAGGCATAACTCTAACCATACCTTTCCATAAGGCTGAATAATTTGGTTTCGCTATCATGTCTCCATCCTCTCCATTTCTAACATACTTTCCTCGCAAAACTTCACTACAAAGATCCCTACAACCAGCCTGCATCTTCCAGCTCAATCTAGCTACACATGCTTTATTCATAATGCCTAACTTTCGCAACCCTAGCCCTTCACTAATCTTCGACATATTCACTTGCTGCCACCCCACTACACGAAACTTTCTCTCGTTTGTATTCTCTCCCCATAAAAACTTCCGTTGTATCTTGTGAATATCATCTATGCAAGCTTTCAAAATCATAGTCGTCATCATGGAGTATATAGGAATAGCTTGCAATACACTCTTAAATAAGACAAGTTTCCCTGCAGAAGAAACCTGATTACCTTTCTAGGCAGTAAACTTCCTTTGCATACGATCAATCAAATACCGATACTTATTCTTCTTTGGTGTTCTTCCACTCAGAGGTACTCTTAGGTACTCACCAAGAATGTGCGTTTCATGTTAACTCGACAACTGAGTCAACTATCTTCAAACACTACTACTAACATTCTTTGAGAAATAAATTATGATCTTCTCCTTACTCACCTCTTACCCAAATATAATGTACATAATTATTACAAGACATGCACCACACACTTCACCTACTTAACCATAGCTTTTCCAAAAAACAACAAATCATCTACAAACATAACACGCGACACCTTCGAGCTTGCTTTCCCCACTCTAATAGCACTCCACTCCTTTTTATCCATTGCACTAAAATTGAGGTGAAATTGAGGTGAGAGAGTTTAAATTGATGCATATTTTAAAAATATATGGCATGTAGATACCATTTTAACATACATTGAAAAGATTAGTGTATTTTTCTATTAAATTATTTAAATTTTTATCTTGAAAATATAACCTAAAAATAACTTTGGATCCTAATTTTGATAACAAAAATAACTTACAAAAATAGACTCACGTTTTTTTTATTATAAATTGTTTTGTGAAAATTTTTACAATTAAATTATAATCAATAAATTATTAATACTCTTAAATATTTATTATTAATTTTTTATTTCATATCTTTAATAAAAAAAATAATTTTATTTATTTTTTACTTACCTCGGAAAGGTTCATTTGACCGTATGAGACTACATTGCCCATTCTTAACGGTGTTCCATCCCCACGCAAGTTACAACGAGTAAGGACGAGTTACCGTTTGATTTTCCGTCTTCTATTATGCAGTGTCAGTGTGAGGACCAGTTATCAAAGTTCAGTTGCCCAGTTTCGTCCATTCATAGTTGTGTTCTAATTTCTCATTCGACAAGACAATCACATCCTCCTTTATCATCTTCCTCTCTGTCCCTTTCCATAATCCTGTCTTCTAAATCCCAAAACATGACCACCCCAAGAAATACAGTAATAGCCCATCCGTGACAAAATAACCATTGGGTTTTACATTTATAATAATATCAAATTTATCTATAAAAACATTAAATATTAATAATGTCTTTTTCTCGTGGCTGTTTGTTTTGGTAGTATTTGTGTTCTCTCTCTCAGATGTTTGTGGTTACTGTTTCAGCTTGAACAGACACAAACTCGAGGTAACAGGAAGTAACAATGGACACAAAACAAGGCTTGTTCTCCACACTCAAAGACGACTTAATGAAAGGTTTGTTGCCGGCGAGTGGTGGTTCTCCGATTTCAACTTTACTCAGGCGGAGGAAGAAAGACCATGTTCCTCCACTGGACTTGCTGTTTGCAGAAAGATGCCACTCTAGGCCACAGGTGGAAGCAATGTCGCCGTTGAAAGAGGGCCCTGAGGAAACAGAATGTAGCTTCTCCGTTTCCTCCTCTTCCGATCTCAGGCTGCTGCTTGGTGTCCTGGCTGCACCTCTGGCTCCTCTCCGTGTCAGCACCACCGAGCCCTTTCCTCACCTTGCTATCAAAGACATTCCCATTGTTAGTTTCTCACTTTCCCCTTTATGTTCTTTGAAAAATTTATCTTACTAGTGTTAATTAGTTACCAAAGATTCTCGTTACCCTCTTATTGGGTTTTGCTACAGGAGACATCTTCTGCTCAGTACATATTGCAGCAGTACATAGCCGCTTCCGGGGGACTGAAGCTTCAAGATTCCATTTACAATGCTTATGCAATGGGAAACGTGAGGATGATTGCTTCCGAGTTTGAAACGGCTAACAAGCTTGTGAGGACACGGAACCCCTCTAAAGCCGCACAATCCGGCGGGTTTGTCTTGTGGCAGATGAAGCCAGACATGTGGTATGTGGAGCTTTCTCTTGGTGGAAGCAAGGTACATGCTGGTTGCAATGGAAAACTTGTGTGGCGGCACACACCATGGCTTGGTCCTCATTCAGCGAAAGGGCCACCTAGGCCTCTAAGGCG